GACGCTCGCCTATGCGAGATAGTAATTAGCCGCGGCCCGCGGCAAGATAGTAATTCGCCGCGGCAAGATAGTAATTCGCCGCGGCGAAATAGTAACTCGCCGCGGCAAGATAGTAATTCGCCGCGGCGAGATAGTAACTCGCCGCGGCGAGATAGTAACTCGCCGCGGCGAGATAGTAACTCGCCGCGGCGAGATAGTAACTCGCCGCGGCGAGATAGTAACTCGCCGCGGCGAGATAGTAATTCGCCGCGGCGAAATAGGAACTAAATTTTTCCTAATTTCTTTTGGCCCTTCTACGCTTCCGTAGTTGCGCTATTATGTTATTGAAAATGTCATGTACATAGTGGTATGCATAGGCCTACGTGGGTACTCCACTCACTGAAACGGTAGGTTTTTGTGGAAAAGTACACTGACAGTGAAGTAAGGATTCAAAGCCGCCATACTTCATTGACATGTAAAACATGTCAATGAAATATGGCGAACAAAACATGTTCGCGCAGCACATTACGGTCAACCGCAATGTGCTGTGCAAATTATACGTGCAAACTCATACAGTTGTTGTGAAGCATTATTGTGTTTCCTTTGAATGTAGTCTGCGGCTGCAGGGCCGATTGGAATTTAAGTAATGTATTTGTCATGATCAGTCGAGTTGAGTTCTGTGCAGCGCCGGGTTGGTCGCTCTCACAGGCTCTCCCTTTCCTCACATTTCCAAGTTACATAAGTTGATTTTGTCTTTCAAGTTTGCTTGCAAATGGAAGGAGAAGTTCTCTAGACGAAAACTATGTATACTGTTAGTATGAAAATAACACAAAGTGCCTCAGTGAAATTTTCATCTTTTGAACACATGGAATTGTTGGTACGAGTCTCGCCCTCCATCGTGTTTAGAGTATATGCCATCTACAGGCCACCCCCATCATCAAAAAAACAAACTCAAATATGATATGTTTGTCCATGATTTTTCTACTCTGCTGGAATCGGTGACAATTGTTGAACAGCAGCCTCTTCTGATTGGGGATTTCAACATCCATGTTGATGACGGAACTGATGGAGATGCCAAGGCCTTCCTTGACATCTTATATGCAGCTGATCTCCAGCAACATGTTAGAGAACCAACCCATCAAGCTGGTCATACACTAGATCTCTTGATTTCCAGAAAGATCGATCATCCCATTATGGACACAGGCGTCTTACCCGGACTACCTTCTGACCACTTGGCAGTGCTAGCTACCCTCAATTTTGCTCGTCCTGCATCCTCCAAGAAGTTAATTACATGTTGGAAGCTGCGTGAAATTGATATGGTTCAATTCAGGAATGACATACAGAACTCGCCGCTAGCACTGCCAACAGCCAAGAATGCTTCTGAGCTAGCAGATCAGTACAATATTGTTCTACAAGAACTGCTAGACAGACATGCGCCAGAGAGATCCACACTTGTCTCACTCAGGCCAAAAGCTCCTTGGTATACTGATGTGGTTAGAGAGGCAAAGCGAGTTAGACGGGGTCCTATACGCAAATTTAGAAATTCCGGTCTGGAAATTGACAGTCAACTCTACAAAGAACAATGTAGATCCTACAATGCCATCTTATCTAAATCAAAATGCCAGTATTTGAGCGATGAGATAGGGAAGTGTGACACTAAGCACCTATTTCAGTTTGTGCAAAAACTATCCTGTCCAAAGTCACAGCAGCTCCTACCTGACCACGATTCGGATACGAAATTGGCCAATGAATTCGGACAGTTCTTTCACGATAAGATTGATAACATCGTCGCCAGTCTGAAAGACTCCAAGCATCAAACAGACTGTGAATATCAACACATGGCACACTCATTCTGCGCCTTTGAACCTGTCTCTGAAAGTGCAGTTCGGAAAGTGATTCGAGACAGTCCATCAAAATCATGTCAACTTGACCCAGCACCCACTTGGCTGCTGAAAGAGTGTCTGGATGAGCTCGTGCCATCTATTACTCAACCGGTGAATCGTTCTCTGTCTTCTGGAGTCGTTCCCATGGCATTCAAAACACCGCATGTGGTTCCTCTCTTAAAGAAGTCAAACTTAGATCCAAATGACTTTAAGAATTACAGACCGATTGCCAACCAGATGTTCATTGCTAAGGTTCTAGAGAGGATCGTTGCTGCTCAGTTACGAACTTATCTCGATGTTAATGGTCTGTTTCCTGTCATGCAATCTGCGTATCGGCAGTACCATTCGACTGAAACAGCCCTTTTGAAGGTTCACAATGATCTTTTGCTAGCGGTTGATAAAGGACTGGAAGCTGTCCTCATTTTGCTAGACTTTTCAGCTGCGTTTGATACGATAGATCACACCACTTTGATACAGTGCTTCCATCATAAGTACGGACTCGATGGAGTTGTCTTACAGTGGCTTGTGTCCTACTTGGAAGATCGGAAGCAGGTCGTTGTTATCAATGGTGTACTGTCACAAGCGTTTCCACTCTCGTGGGGAGTACCTCAAGGATCCGTCATGGGACCTCTCGATTTTATCCTGTACACTGGTCCCATGAGTGACGTCATAAGTGCCCATCAAGGTGTTCAACATATGATATACGCTGACGATACACAACTGTATCTGATACTCAAACAAAGTGAGGTTTCCAGCGGGGTTGTGAGACTTGAGCAGTGCATCTCTGATGTTAAAGCCTGGGCGAGTAGCAATAACCTAATGCTGAACGGCGCCAAAACAGAAATCCTGCACGTCACTTCTCAGTTTCGGAACTCTGGTGAGCTACCAGATTTCAACATTGATGGCACAGTTATCACTCCTTCAGAATTTGCTAGGGACCTTGGAGTTACAGTAGACAACACCCTGAATGTGAAACGGCACATTCGCAACTCCTGTCCAGCAGCTGCCTTTGGAATCCACACAATTTGGAAACTCAGAAAGTTCCTCAACCAAAGTTCCACCGAGCGTCTAGTAAATGCTTTTGTTAGGTCCCACCTTGATTACTGTAATAGTTTGTTAATAAATTCACCCTTTTCCCATTTGTCGGCACTTCAACATATCCAGAACACAGCAGCTCGTCTCATCACGCACAAGGAAACATGAACACATAACCCCAATCATTCGTGCCCTACACTGGCTCCCCATTTCACAACGCATCCAGTTCAAGATCCTCCTTCTCACTTACAAGGCTCGGAACGGACTTGCACCCTCATACATCAAGGAACTCATCACACCCAAACTGCAAACCTCTTCCATCCATCTCCGCTCATCATCCACAGCACACTTGCAACTTGCTCCTGGTCCTCGTACCCATACTCGATACGACGATCGAGCCTTCTCCGTCTGTGCTCCCAAACTTTGGAACAATCTCCCCATCGTCATACGTGATTCCCAAACTCTGGACATTTTCAAAACCAGATTGAAAACACACCTATTTAACTCCGAGTCAACTTAGACACATTTGACATTTCTTTAGTTGTTACACTACATTGTATCCTGTATATTTTGGTAATATATATACTTACGTATGTTTACTTTTTGTAAAGCGCTTTGAAACACTGCGTATTAAGCGCTATATAAATGTTAATTATTATTATTTATTATGCAAGGCTGTCTTTATAAGTCAGCCACTGTACTGTACTCGGCGCAGTTGGTCTAGAGGCGCCGTCGACAACGCCCAACATTTACTGTTCGCTTCACGATGTAATCTTATGTTGAACTTCACTTGAGTTGTCAGAAATAAATTATTTGGACCCAGAATTGGTCTCCGCATTTATATTTCCTTGAGTTGTCCTCGTCGATCCTGGTAGTGTTTAGCAACACAACACAGTTAAGAAACATTCGATATTTTCAGAAAGCAATGTATTTCCTCCAGAATAACAGATATGATCACTTTGTATTTATTGTTTAAATGTTATGGAGGATATGGACGGGGACTTGGAGGGGAATGCTTCCTTGACATGTGGAAATATAAAAGAAGAATTGTGCGTTGGTATGCTAAAAGAAGCACTGTAAATCTCAGCGGAAAACCAAATCACAATTTGCACAACTCCATAATTTAGCCAAAAGGGACAGTTAAGTGAAAAGTGTACTTCTCTCCTTTTTTTTCGTCCATTCCAAATATGGTATTGGATTTTTTTCCTTGAGGCTTTGATCTGACTTGCCGTGTGGTTTTTGAAACCGTATTCTGACATCAATAATGACTTGCCTTAGAATACAAAACTCTGTTAATATTTGAAGTGTTTATTTGCCAAACACGATACATTGTATACGCTATTGTTTTCCCTTTTAGAATCATATCCTCTCCTGACTGCCCAAAAGCAACGTCGACGGCTGTTACATACTTAAACACAACTTAAGAATACAATAAGGCGAAAGAACGAAGTTTACAAAATAGCCGTTGTACTGTTTTTACTTTCTTTAAAGTTTTATAACCGCGCAACATGCTCACCTTTTTTCAAATGAACATATCACGTTTGGAAAGAAACTCTTTAATTATAAGGGTGAGTCAAAAAAAGCGAAACCCAAATGTCGGGACGTCTGTGTTAGTGACGTTCTGCACGATAGCAAGTTCAACATCTAGGATACAAAAGCCTAATTCGTAAACGTTCTTTTAGTGCAAGAATCATTCAAATCACGTATGTACTTTTGAAGTTACAGAATTTTAAACACAACGACCGTTTTAAAGTTCTGTCCAGGAACCACAAAAGAGGTGTGTGTTAATCAGCAAAACGAAACAATTCACACACATCCCTAAGTGATTTGTTTTCGTTTTGCTGAAAAAAAAACACTGAACTTTTTTGCGATCCGTGGACAGAACCTTTAAACAGTGGTTGTTTTTAAAAATTCCGTAACGTGAAAAGTACATAAGTGATTTGAATGATTCTTGTACTAAAATAAAGCTTATGAATTGGGCTGTTATATCCGAGATTTTGGAGTGCTACATGCAGAACTTCACTAAAACAATGGTCCCGACTTTTGGGTTTCGGTTTCTTTTCTACTCACCCTGTATAGGGCGTGAAATGTTCTGAAATTTACCTTCTGGTTTGTTGTTGTTGGTATCTGCCATTGCTCCACCGAGAAGAGCGAGTAACACCATCAAGTAAACCATCTTTACCATTGATTCAGCACTGACACCCCCAAAACACGACGTTCAATTCTCGCGAAGAGTTCTTATGTTCGCTTCTGCTTGTGAGACTGGAAATCTGGGTGAATAACAAGTACTCGAGTGGTTGAAGCCAGTTAGATTACAGATCAGACAACGTTCGGTGTGTACGTGGCGAATATTATTTGCAACAACGCTGACAACAGAACAAAATTGACCTATATGCTACAGTGATCACTAATACCTGCCATCACCTGACGAGTATTGGCGCTCAAATACACCGATCCATATATAAGCCACGCCCCTTGACAAGTTGAACAGTCACAGAAGGCTACGTGCAGGTCATATGGGACGCATGAATTGAAATCTTTACTATTGGTTGACTTTACCTTGGCTTGACCAATAGTGTACTGTGAGTACACAAATTGTATTATTCAGGTCGAAACTTTGGGAATGACCTAGCCTTGACCAAGCCTTTCAGCTTGCTCCCATACGAGCTTGTTACCGCGGCGCGCCGCGACACCCTAGTATGCCGTTAGCCTCAGTCAACGACCCTTGCGTGTGCCTTGTGTGCATGTACCTAACTCCCACACACACTTCCGCTAACAGCCGTACAGTAAGTCGAGGCGTGTATGTTCAATATGATAATTAGTACGCGCTATGGTAAATAGTCTTCTCTCATTGGATAATGGCTGACAAAAAAACGAATATTCATTAAATTGCAGAAAATAATATTTATAAAGTGATACATAGTTTTGGTCTAAAATGAAATGAAAAGGATGAAAAATTAGACCATGGAAGAAGGATTCCTTTCTCCATGCATGATAAGACCCTCAAAAAACGTCGGTTTCAAGTCGGGTCGTTTCGGTTTCGGGTCGGGCTCGCACATCATTAGTGTAGAGAGGAGGTTTAGACATCGTATAGCGGCACTGCACTGCGCGTCTTTGCGCGGCGCTACACGATCAAGCGTGCGTGTGCAATCGGTGGCGTATCCAGAGGGGAATTAGCCCCCCCCCCCCTTATTTTTTTAACAGTTATTTCAATAAATGGTTCGAGTGTGGACATTTATTGGAAGACTTACGGCATTTTTCCATTTTTCTACATATTGTTCTCATCATAACATAGCTGAAACACACATTTGAACCTTTGAGGCCATAAACAAATTAGATTTTTAACCAATGTTACCCTCCTTTTTACAGGTCAACGTTCGCTTCACAAACAAAAATGCATGTAGTAAACACGTAGTACATCCGAGTAATTCGTGCCCAGTAGAATTTTTTTGTTTTACTTTATATCCCAGGAAAACTTCAAAAACTTCAGCTGGAAATCTAGCGCAAAATTAAGAGAAAAATACTCTTTCGCAGACGCTTGGACCAAGGAGTTCGTCTGGATCCAAAATGATTTCGCTTGCACCCCGCCCTGCAAACAGGGCACTGGGACATGCTGATGAGCTTCACAGAGTCTTGTGAAGGAAGTGGGGTGGCATTCTGGGTAATTTATCATGACCTATGTATAAAGACATCTGGCTGCAGCTGTTTAAGTCCGCAGTTAGCCAATGCGCGCAAATGCTATCCGAAAACTTTCTCATAGAAATGTATACATTCCATACCGAATGTGAGTTCTTTTTCAATTGCGGACCATGTGCACCAATTTTGAGCGTCACTCGTGATGACTTGTGGTGACTTTATTGCAACGCCGGGTTTTGTTCTGTCTTAGGTCTTTGTTGATCCTATTTGTCGTGAAAACTTACACAAATTTAACAAAAATATATTCCGTCCTAAAGTGATGAATCAAGTGCGACAGAGTAAAATACGAATGAGCCGGCCATATTGGGCATCCAATAATTTGGTGTTCATATTAAAAGTTACATGAATACAAAAGTTTAAGTAAATTAAAACTAGAAATTGACTGGAGCGTGATTTGAGCCTGTGACTGCCAGTCCATTTCTTCGTTCCATTTTTTATTATTTGTTTTTGTTAGCTTGAGGGCTTATAAATTGCTATAGCAATTGTCATATTTCTACACTCTGTAACCAGCAAATGGCGTCAAATAATCATCATCCTAATTCGGCATAGACTTTCGTCCGTGGCCGCCCCGTCCTCAGATTGTAACGGGGCGTATCCCTTGGGTCGCCGCCATCACCTATTCTCTCTTTCAATAGCCGCTATTTTCAGCTCTTCCACACTTCTGCTACTCCACTACATTTCAAAATAATGTCGCTTAAAAGTAATGCTGGAGCACTTGTGCTATCCAGACTCGATTAGTGCAACTCTCTCCTCAATGGTAATAAACAATATGATTTTGATCGACTCCAACGGCTTTAAAACAATGTTGCTCATTGCACATGCACTCTAAAAATTAATTCGTTTGTTTAGTCATTTCTGAATGACTAATTATCTTTCATGACGCACTTATTCACCGTCAGCCATGATTATAAAAATAAGTTGTCATTTTGAATAACGCACATTAATTACGCGTACTTTGAGAACAACATTGACTAACCCAAATTTTCCATCGCTGGTGGTTTTGACAAATGACACGTAATCATTGTATATGAAGAAAAATCGTTTACTCGTCGAAATTAGTCATTTAGTCCTTTTGACTAACGAAGTTTGTTATTTTCCCGCCGTTGATGTGTAAAACAAAGTGGGACCCAGTCAATGATGTTTAGCCAGGCGTACGTATGGTATGGATCGGTAACACTCAGTTTGCTGGCAGCCGGTAAACGGACCGTCGTTTCTTCCTCCATTTCAACCATGACGAAGGCCTATGATCTCGTATGCAATTGGTAATGGACGTGAGTTATGAGATGAGAGTACGGTAGTGAGGGAAGTAGGTTACATCGGTAATAAGGCTTTGCCATATAGATGCCGAGTAAGACTCGCAAAATTATTATGCATATACTTAGACTAGGCACATCTGCATAATGCAGGCCTTATAATACAACCGTATTAGCCTTCCTTGCACACAACATGTCGCTGTGCATATTATTTGGAATACACTATTGAATTTGTTGTGCCAAACAATAAAGGGCCAATCCGAAACTAAATATACTTAAGATAGGAGGGGAACTATGACATGATTAAGAACATTCCACGATTGTTGTTTGATTTTAGAAATATGGACTTTCTTGAAAAATTTAGGCGAGAGAAATAAATAATATGCAAGAAATCAAGAAAGATTATCCGTGTGTGTGTGTGTGATCATGATCATGTAGTGGTAGATGCAAGGAGCCGAACACGGGCCATGTGATCCAATTCAATTGCACAACCAGTGAGACACAAGTCAGATGCAGATGTGACTCCATCATCCGGGTATGTACACAGTATGGTGTACAATTAAGGACACTAGAACGGACAAAGTGCTTCACTTCAGTGGATACAATGTTGACTAAAGTGTGATTAGTTAGAAATTCAGTTACAAATCGCGAAAGTCGCTTGACTACAGATTAGTCACATGATGCAGGTTTCTATTATTGTCATATGACTATTTTGTCTATCAGAGTTTCGACTTATCCAGTTAGTCATCAATACTCTGTGACTAATTTAGGTAAGTCGTACGAGACATATCCGTGGCATTGTTTTAGTCAAAATGACAAATACATTTTTAGAGTGTAATAACAACCATAATACACACATGATTCTCCACTCCTTCAACAATTACATCGCAGTCGTGTGGTTTCAAAGGCCGATTTCTAAAGGTTACGTAATACTTTATTTTGAATGAAACAACATGCTCACAGACATGTTCACACAGTCAGCCGAAATATTTGAAAATTAATGTCTACCGTTTGGAAGACAGAGTCTTCATTCCACTTCCAGGGTTAGTTTCACTAATAATGATCCAACTATGTCCTAAAATGGTTTTGACATGTTCAGTACTTTTCGTTGAAATTGGAGAAAAAAATAGGCCTGGCTCCGTGCATTTGTAAAAGTTGTAACACTAGCGTTTGCAAAATCTGTCAATCTTTTCAAGCGTCACGATGTTAATCAGATTCCTATCCATTATGGACGTTCGAATTCATTTTGTTTTTATTTACCAATGTATTTAAGAGAAGTAAATTCAAAAACAACAAAGCGTACACCCCAAGCCGATGTCAATTGGGGACAAAATAATCACACACGGGGGGGGGGGGAGTGCTTGAGCACAGCTTAACAAAATTAACTAATCAATAAAGCACAATGTTTTTCTTGGTCGGTGGGTTTTTTTTTATTGGGACAAACGCTAGCAGCTGTGGCTCGATTTAGGTCACAACAGGGGATATGGACTGTCAATTAGCTTCAGAGGAATTATCGATAAAAACACATACTTGTTCTTCGACAATAGGGAGACACTGGTCATTAGCCAATTAACTAATTCCGCAGCCCCCCTTTGGAGGCAAATTTTTCTGTCGCAATCAAATTATATTTGTTGCTCGCGGTCTTATTAGTAAAAATACCGAAATTCGTGGAAAGGGGACAAGGGAATATTGGGTTAGGGCACATTTAAGTTTGAAAAATGTTGGGCACAAGTCTATGGGAATGTCTCCCAAATGACCCATTTGCGGTAAATTATCATTACACCTCCTATATATTTTGTTTACTCCATGTGATACTTGATTTGAGGAAACAAAGGATGAATGAACTGCCAATTTCAGTACAAACATCAAGACAAATCCAACAGGCCATTTACTACGCTGAAAACTGATTGCTATGCACATAAATCTCCAGCGAAGGTTGGAGTCGTGTAGTCATTAGCTGACGCACAACATAACAGGATCCGCAAAGACACATGATAACCAATTAACTAAACTAAAGGTACAGCCGGATAAGCAGAATAAAACAAAAACTAAATCTAGACGAGAGACATTCATCATTTGTTATTTTCATTAGTAGACCTTGTCTCAGCCGGGTCGATTACAGGTCAGAGTAAAGCAAAATTGGGATTTTACTCTGAACACACAATCGACACTCGTATTTAACCTTTACCAAACGAAAAAACAAATATAATTGTATTTACTGCGATTATACTTGGATTCGAATGATATTTAATCTTGAATGAAAGAAGTAGTATAAGTAAAATATATAATGTTCATTTTCATTTTATCATCACGCGTACAGGTAAAGGTCTATCCAAAAAGACACAACCAAAGTACTGTAACGGAAAGTGTGTGGACAGTTTATTTCCTTTGCATTTCTATTGCAGTAGTGTGCATGAGCGCAAATTTGTATCCTTGTGGAGACA